TTTGAAAATGCACATTTAGACAGTCTGTTGAGCAAACATTCAATACATTGCATAAAAAAAACATTAGGAAAACAACATTTTGATTTCACACAATAGGTGTAAAATGAAAATGTATATATTTTTAATACATTTACATTTTTCTCCTCGAGATTGTGAGAAACAGCATTTCGACCTCCCTGTATATCCCACAAACAGAAGAATGACAATAAAGTTGACTTTGATTTTGTTTTATACAAATAGAAATGCTCAAATTCTACAACATTAAGCAGATTTAAACAAACGTGCAGTTTTATCTCATGTATTCCCCACATGTTATGAAATGACAAAAATAAAATGTCTGTGATTTGTCAGAGGAGTTAACCATACATTTTAAGAGACCAACAGGCCAACTGTATTTCCTACTTATCTTGTAATTGGTTAACAAATGTTTCTGGACAGACTGTGCTGCTTGTGTTGAATCGGTTTCATCTGTGACTCCTTTTCTCTGTTTTGCAAATAGTCCCTGTTATTGGTTAACTAATGTTTGCAGAAAGAGTAGGAAGGACAGTGATGACATTAAAAGTTGTTTTTAGAGAGACTGCTCCACAGTATGTTGGTGTTTGATCATTTATTCTGTCATCCAGTGGCACTTGGCTGTTTGAGACTCTGGATTAAGGATTTGACAGACACAACTAAAGAGGGTAATGTGTGTTTCTACCTTTGGGGAATTTTAGGGTCATTAACCAGAGACATATTTAAAGAATGAAACTTTAAACCATGGCAATATCAGGCAGACATTTAGAAGGGTGAAAACAAGTTCAAGGCCAAAAATAATGCATATCATATCATACTAAAATTATGGAGTCCTAGTGTTTGTTTTTCTGTTTGCGTGGGAATTTGTTTCCCATGCAATCTGTTCAAGATACAGTATCTACACAAGGATAACCGCCTAAAACAAAAATAGGAATTATTTTTGGGCCAAGAATAACCTTGGCCGAGTGTGGCTTAACACAAAGAAGAGAGACTCTGAAAGCAGTACAGCTCACAAGAGAGCCACATGTAGTCTATTTCCCAGTGATTTTTTATTTTCAAATGTCAACAATTCTCACATTTTGGATGATAGTCAAACATTCTTTTAAATAAAACGTACAGATATCTTTGCAGGGGTTTTTAGGAAGGGATGGCCTTTTTATAGAATGTTATTAATGCTAAACTTCGGATGAAAATTAACTGCATTATCAGTATTTAAACAAAAAATATCTGTTGATATATTAGTGGATAACCTATACGTGTATAACCAAGACCCTTGATTTCTTGTGTTTACTTTAGGCGGATCCTTAATAGATAGGACACATCACTTTTGTTTAATGAAGTCATGCATGGGAGAGAGATTGGGTGAAATAGTTGGAATGGGAGATAACAAGATACACTTTGAAGGAGATAAACAGAGTAGGGAGTAGAGAATGTGAATCTCCCCGGTTTTGCCTTTTTAAAACTCTTAACGTAACTTGATTTGTGAGATTCCTGACTTAAAAGGTAATTTATATTAAAGTCCATTAAAACAGTATCTGGACATGTTGATCCCTGAGTATGTAATACGTGACTGTGTTTCCATAAAATGCCTGACCTAAATTCTTGCAACTCTAAAAGGGACTTTTGTTCATATCAATTGAGAGAAAAAAGTAAATTATTTTTACAGGATTTTGTCTTGTGTGTCTAGTAAGATAACTTTATAAATCCTAAAGAAATGTGCAAGCACTAAATAAGTAGGTGTAGTCCAGACGGCGTGTAGCACAGTAAATATATAGAATAAATGAGAAGTGTTCATGCAGTCAATATTTTGCCCTTGTAGGATCTAAGTATCCCATTAGCACTTGTTAATTTCCTGCTTCCTGCTTCACAGAGAAAAAGCCACACTATTGAGCAGATACTTCATCTATGATTCAGGATGACAATAATACATTATTTATATTTGCCACAGTTAAGTTTGGCTCTACTTTCACTCAGAGTTTCAATCAGGCAGATAACACGATCAAACGTTAAAAGTCGGTTTAAAGATGTGGATATTCTGTTGAGCAGCAAATATCAAGTTACTTAGAATAAGAGTACACATGTTAATGGTATAGTTCACCAGCATTTCTCTGTATGCTCAATGAGATGAATCCATAATTCAATTGCAGAGGGATTAATGACTTTGATGATACAGGGGTCAGAGGTGACTGTGGGTGAAGATATTATCAAGGTGTTTACGATCTGAGTTATCTGCAATATAGCTTTTGCTCAGGTGTTATCTTCCAGTGTTATCACTTTCTTGTACACTTTATGGTATACCATGAAAGCCTTAAGGAAACTAAAAATCCCTAAATGAAATACACAAAGGTGTTTTAATTCTCCTAAGCATGATCTCATTTGTTTCCATTCCCCATTCATCTATTGAACCTTCCATCTTTTGGTGCAAACCACAATTTTAATTGGTGTTCTCATGTGTAAATGTAATTGTTCATCATTTAAGCATGGGTGTGAATGGGGTGTGACGAAGGAAGAGCTGGAAATCAACAATTGTAAATGATTGAGTCAGGTTTCACATCCAGATGGATCAAACTGGTTTGTGTGTGGTTTCAGCAAATGCATTACAACCCGAGGACATGTAAGAAAACAGTCCTTTCCCCTTCAGATACCTGGTGCTTTACATGTAGACAGACAAATAACAGTGCGCTTCCCACAACGGTACGAGAATGGAACATTTCAGCTCCTTGCATTGTTGTTCTGTGGCCAACTGGCCATTGATCCTCCCCTCGTGTAAGTGCGATGTAAATGAATGATCTGCTAGCCAAATGGAGCAAAGTTACCAGGAGTCCCACAGAGCTTTGAAAAAAAAGTCCTATGATCCTGGAAAACTTTAATAGGCTTGTGTATTATATGTGTGTGTGTGTGTGTGTGTGTGTGTGTGTGTGGGTGTGTGTGTGTGTGTGTGTGTGTGTGTGTGTGTGTGTGTGTGTGTGTGTGTGTGGTGTGTGTGTGTGTGTTGGTGTTTTATTGTGTTTATTCTCCTGGCTCCTGCTAATCTCCTGACCCCAGATGGAGAGCAGTGGGTGAGCAGATTGTATTTCCTGCTGGATTACATATTAATAGATCGGTGTGCTTCTCTGCCACACTCTTTGCAGGGCAAAAATGAAGGACGGTACACCCCTCACCCCCACCCCCCCATCCTACCTTGGCTCTCTGCCCAACAACTGCTAATGTAGAATACGAGGCCTTGTGTCAGGGCACACATAAGGTGTAAGATCCGGGAGGAAAACTGAATTAGCAGAGTAACCTGAGCAGGTGGGAAGGAAGGGACTATGGATCTGCAGCCGTACAACAATCAGCCACATGATAGGTGCCCGATGGGATTGAGGATTACACACAAGGCCTGCAGGCTCCATGTTTATTAAGAGCAGAGCAGATATTATTTACATATAGCACTATTCTTAGAAGCTTAACAAACATAGCCTCTTGTTTTCAGTGCTTACAGTTTCGAATGGAATTGACAGCTTTGAGTGAGGATTGCTTTCAACTTCAGAAAAGTGGCCTGAACTTGCCTGTACATGTGACACAGGAACCTGTCCTGAACATCTGAATTCTACACTTACAGAATGTCCCTATACAATAATATAAGTGATGGCAGAATGTGGTTTAACTTTTTCTGGCAAGATTTTTATAAAATAATAAAAGGACATTTGAGGTATATTTGTATTTTATCCCAAAAGAATATTGGTTAAAGATTCTTAAACTGTTTTCTCAGTGGAAATCATGTTTTAATCATCTATCATCTGGCATTTAAAGAGCTATATTTGAATAAGATAATCTTCACTAATCCCCAGAGATTCAGGTGTTTGAGCAGCACAAAGACAGAAGGCAAATATTTTGCTATAGTTAACCCTGACAGCGTTGAGTGATCCCTGTTACTTGTTACCTATGAATTAAAGTGTTAATTGTTTTCTGTATGGCTGTGTGTATGTATGCAAGCATGCATAGGCGTGCTGATAAGTGGTTTATATTATGAAAGATGGGCTATCCGACCATGGCTGTAGGTGTGGTGCTTTTTCATCATCTTATATCAGTCTTACTTAATACCAAGCCCGCTGTCAAAATATTGCCAAGGAGATTCTTTCTGACACTGCAGTCAGTGTTCAGTTGTGATTCAGTTTGAACACCTGGGTTCTCTGACTTTATGATGACCAAAACCATAGAAGCCCATCCTTTAATACCAGTAAAATATATCAACACGAGCCAAAATAACAGGTAATGACACAGCGCGTAAGGCTTCTGGACAGGAACACTATCATCCTGAAAGATATCCGAATGAGTCATAGATCAAAGGGGCTTCTGTAGACTTAAGGCAAGGCAAGGCATATTTATATATATATAGCCCCTTTCCACACAGGTTCCACAACCTTGTACCCAAAGTGCTTTACAAAAAATGAAAGACATTAAGAAAATGGCATTTGAAATCAGTCATTAAAAAGCAAAGATAATAAAATAAACATTAAAAGAAAAAATACATGGATAAAAGTTACAGTGCAGTTTAAGATGTGAATAGTTCAATTAAAATTAGGTGTAAGTAATGATTGTGTGTAGTCCTCTGAGGGATAATTAGAGCTTAACATGTCAGGAATCCAAACTAGTGCACAGTCACCAATGACAGTCACTGGTTGACGGTGTTTTCTATATTAAGACTGTCAATGCTTTTAAAGGTCTGTTCGATATTGATTTACAGTATTTAACACGACAAATAACCTGTGATAGATAGGCCTACCTCTGGATTTTTTAGCAAATTCAACCATCACTGTAGGATAAATGACCCTTGTACTGTCAATAAAAAAAAGTGCTCTAATTTACAGTGAGGGGCAGGCAGTTCAATCATCTATAAAACATTACATCCCTTTTATTGCTTCTGAGCAAGCAATGTTACATTTGGATGGTGGGTGGGGGGCGGGTGGTTTTTACTGTCTGCTATAAATGCAAAAGCAAACACCGCTACAATGCAATGTGTGACATCTGACATGCTGAGAGAGAGCACCACGTGAAGAACCAGATGAAAAGGTGCATTCATGTTCCTCTGTTAAAATCAGGAGGGGGCATAAGAATTCACAGAGAAATACCTATACCTCATGTGACTCTGACCAACTGTGTTGCTCTGGTTGATCAGTAAGGTAAGCTGCTGCTCCTGCCGCTGCTGAGGAATATGTTGATGGAGGGGGTTGCTTGTTCGTCTTCTTCTGCCCGTCTTGATGTGAACTAGAGCTTGTGGTGAGACCGGAGGGGAAACACGCAGTCAGAGTGGTCGTCTTGTGCTTTCAGAGCCAGGGCACTTTCACGGATTTCATCACGATGGCTTGGAGAGGAGGGAGAACACGTCCGTTTTATCGACAAATTCCTTATTTAAACTAAAGACGGGTGTTGTTTCAGACCCGAGGACTGAGAAGAAAAAGAAAAGGTAATGTCTATAATCAACTGGAAATGACCATAACATGTTGCTACGCCGTGTTTTATTCGACAATGGTGGTGGTGGTTCCTATAGGGAAACCGGTGCTTCTCCTAACCTCCGCCGGGATCACCACAGCATTGTTCTCTTGTTGACTTATCAACAGTTTTTTTGAATTTTATGGATCCTACATGTGTGCGCTGTTTCGGTCAATGACTGATTTTGCTGTGTCTAGCCACACATTTCCATAATCAAAGGTGTTGTTACGCTGCGGGCCTGCCGACTGTATGGAGGCAAATTCCCCCTCTATGCCAACGTAGCGTTGTTAGCATAGCGACAGGCTAAGCTAACCTTAGCCGCTTGATAGTCGTTGGCGGTGCTTACCGTTACTTCAGCCCTTTGTAAATAAGTGGTAACCGTTAGTCATGCTAAAAATGTACCATGGCAACTCCAGCGCAATCGTAGCCTTTAAACTAATATAAGGTAAATATTTAATATTGTATCTTGAGAGACTGAGGTTAGCTTTGAGTTATGGGACATGAAAGTTCCGTTATGTTTGTCTTGCTAACTTGGCTGCTGCATTTCTTTACCTAGCTAGCATAGTGAACTTTTTTTTCCTTCAGCTTAAGTTTACACGACTAGCTTGATAACAACATAAAGTAACGCCAGAGACATAACCCTCGACATGGCCTGAAATACAATGCTTTTGCAACTGCACAACAAACAAATGTGATTGAAGTGGACAGCCACTGAGACCCTGACAGTGTTGTGGTGGAGGTAAAAATCAACCGTCTTGGTCTTTCTCTCCTGTTTGATATTTCCCTGTCGAAAACAGAGGTGGAAGAAGTACTTCGATTGTGTACTTAAGTAAAAGCAGAACTACCAGATTGCAGGAATATTCAGTAACAAGTAAGAGTTCTGCATTAAAGTTTTATTACGTGAAAGTACAAAAAAACCTCAATGTGCAGAAAGTACAAGTACTCATTATGCATATTGGCACATTTAACAATGATATATATTATATGTTTTGATTATAATTATTGATGCAATAATGTGTTTATCACAGCTGCTAAAGGTGGAGCTAATTGTAATTCCTGTGTATAGTGCAAAGTAGCTTGTAGATATACTCCAAAGTCTTGAGTACATTTCGTATCCAAATCTGCTAAGTATCCAAAGCTTTAAAGTAAAAGTACACGAGTTACCTCTGAATTGTAGTGGGGTAGAAGTACTAAGTAGCAACAAATGTAAAGTACAGGTCTGTCAGAATTGTACTCAAGTACATTGTACAATTGAATACATGTACTTAGCTACTCAACATCACTGGTTCGAGAATATAACCGTTTGTAAAATCCATTGAGTTGTGTAACGTTAATGTGAACAACATATTCTGTTGCAAGAGGTTTATCTAGAAGGGCAATATCTGTAGGCGTAAATTAAACCTGTGATTGTACTTGACTCCCTAGAGTTGCACCAGTATAAGCTGTTTGCTTGTGGGTACTTTTTAATATGCAATGGATGCTGTCTGTCAGTTAACTCTTAACATTGTGTGTGCAGTTTAACTAGTTAACCTAGAGAATTACTGGTTGAAAAGTGGAACTTTCTGTAAGCGATAGTATCAACAGGTTGTATTTTATAAGAGTGTAGGCAGAGTATTTAAAAGTTTTTTTTATTTATTTTTTATCTTGTGACTCTATTGCCTCATGTGGCACTGCCCTTTTTCAAATGGGTGTTCTTTCAGATATATCACATCTGAGCTGAACTCTGGTCTGACATCCCCTGTGCTAAGCTTCATAATTCCTCATGTATACTTGCCTCCAGATGGAATTTGATATAGGGTTTATTTTAATTTTTAAAAACCTGTCACATCTGATCAATTCTTTGCAGCATGCTGTTTCAATGGGGGCTGTTTTTATTTGTATTAAAGCTTTAGCTAAGGACAAAAACATCTGTGTTGAAAGCAGTCGCAATGCTGCTGGTTTACTTTTGATAAAACAGTAAACAACCCAAGCTAACTATCCCCACAGATGACATATGTGTTATCTTCTCTGCACTCAGGCGACTCTCACTGCACAGGATTCACTGCCTGTATTGCGCCATGTTTTTGCTCGTTCAATATCTGTATAACCTAGATGTTCCATATCTAGATCTTACATGCCACAGGCAGGGTAACTGAAATGCAAAATTATTGGATAAATGGAGATGTAATTTTATATGCATGTTTATGAATCAACCAACAACAATAACAGGGGGACATGGATCTTCTTTTAAGCATTATGCTTTCTGCAGCAGTGAGGGTGTGGTTTCCTGTTAACTACTAATAACATTACTGTATTGGAGATGGGCGTTTTTAACGGATGCTTGGCGAACTGATGTGTCAACTGTCAAGACTGTTTCACTAAGACAATATGAACACAAGAGCTGACTTTCTGAGTCTCCTTTTGTTGAAACAGGTTTATCATTCCACTCTTATCTGTCTTCAGTTTTGACTCCACCCTTTCCCTCTCCACATCGTCCCTCCCTGTATGTGTGTGTGTGTTTGATAGGTTACTCTTGTGGGATGTATCAATACTATGTCCCTGCACTCTCTTGTCCTTCAGGTGATGAGCTGGATAGTGCCATGTGAATAATGAAGACCATGAAGCCCACACACAAGGCGCTGTTCATCCTGTGCCCCACGCTGGTCCTGGGCTTTATTTACTACTCCTCCGGGAAGCTGCATCTACACGTATGGGGCCCGAAGCCTCGTAAGTGACATCTCCAGTATGACTGTTTGTAATGTGACTCATCTCCTGATAACCCATCTGGACTCGTTTAAAAAAAAAAAACTATTAAGCAAATGTGTTTGACACCTGTCTCTGTTTTGCTTCTCTCTGCTGACTGCCTGTTAACCGTCTGCCTATTTCCACCTGTTTCTTTGGTTTTATTCTACAGTCTTTCTGCTGAACCGTATGTCATGCTGTGTTTCTCAAAACCTGTCTCTGATATTGATCATTCACATCACCAGAGAACCGGAAGTGGTGGGGAGCGTTAATCAGGTTTTCTTGCCGGTTGGGTTGCTCTATCTCTACTGAAAATCATCCTGTGCAGGTCGTCTTACTGATGGAAATCTACTGTCAGCCCTGTCACTCGGCTTAGTAAGAAAACCTATGAGTTAACCAAAGAGATGGAAACCTTCGCTGACTGTCTTAGAGACAGCATAGCATACTACAGGAGTAGGCAATGGCATCTTGATATTTCCACGCTTAGATGGTGAAGATTCTGTTTTGCAGTTCCCTTTATTACATACTAAAAAGGCACGCCCTCTGGCATTGCATTTAAAAATAACCATGACCTGTTAGTGGTGTTGGTTATGAGTCAGTTGGATTTCCTTGTAATGTTGGATATCTGGAGCGTTTGAGTTCATATTTAGAACTGTTTGCGGATGATAGACCTGGCCGTTACTTTTTCTATTTGACTAAGAAGTGATAACCGACACGACAGGGGTTTGGTTTACATCACACTGTGTGGGCACCCTGAAACAGCTGGTAAACTCCACCAGAGGGGGCTAGAATATTTCTAACACCTCTTTGCCAGTGCCATATATTTTCTATGAAAACATTCTCAGGGAGAGCTTTTGGCACAGAAAACACAAATATTAGTGTTGATGGCATAGCTAAAGGGACAGTGTTCTGTCAAAAGTTTCATGCTTTTTCTTCCTGGTATTACATCACTTATATCCTCACAATTTCAGTATGCTTTTCTTTTGTAATCATTGTAATCCTAACCAGCATGCTCTGCGGTCTGTATCTTTCCCAACTGCTGCATGTGTCATGCAAATATACAGTATTGTTTGAATGTGTGATGCTAATATGCAGTATTGTGCAGAACCAGTTATCAGTGGCCTATTGTCTTTGGTATTATATCATGAGCTCCATTCAGACATGTGTATTACTCCTTACATGTTCCTAAACTCTTACATGACAATGTTTCATGTTTTTGACCAGTTTCTCTGACAATCTACCTAGTAGGACCTTGTAACCAAACCCATGTGAGGGTCAAATGTGTTAAAATCGTCTAAGCATACACTGTAGATCATGGAAGTTAGGAAAAAATGTATTGATGCTTAAACAACCGATTTCTGAAGCAGTCAAGCCAAGGAGAGAACATTTTGTCACTTGACGTGAAGACAGCTTCCGAAGTTATTCAACAGTTTCTTTATTGATGCCTATCATTGTTCACTACACACTTCATGTGCCAAATTGCAACCAGTATGTAAATGTTTCAAATATTTGTATTGAGAAGAAGCACTTAGTGTAAGCAATAGTACAGACTTCTTTGGGGTGGAAATCATGCTTCCCTTTTTCAACATAGAAGACAAACAGAACAGCCAACAAGAAATAATAGAGAAAAAACATAGCATGACAGGAATACCATACATAATGACATACATAGTCCTAGTGGGAAAGAACATACAAAATAGTATATATAATACAAATAAATAAATAAACTTAAAGGGGACCTATCATGCAAAATGCACTTTTGTACGTCTTTTATACATGAATATGTGTCCCCGGTGTTCCAGGGAACTCACCAAGTGTCAGAAAACACAACCCTCTCTATTTTCCTCCATACCCAAATCTCTAAAAAAGGGGCTGCAACGGATCTGATAAAAACTGATCCAGATTTGAACACTGTCCTGACGTCAGGACGGTGGCGCTACGGCTATTGGGCCAACTCCACCAATCAGGAGGAGACAGCCACGGCCATTGCCGTTCGAAAGCGCTGGAGACGCTGTCGTACATATGCCAGGCCTGTAGATGGTGCTGTTCTCACTGAATCTGCCCTTGCTAAAACAGATCTAAAAAATGTCAAATTGAGCAAAATGAGGCATGGCTAAAATGCATGATCTGTTTGGTATTTTGAAGAAAAAAAAGTATAAATATTATTCAAATATAGCATGATAGGTCCACTTTAAGGGTTGCAAATAAGCCCAGACTACCCCCCCACCCTTAACCAGTATGTACATGTAACAATTTCTACACATTACACTGCAAAATAACTTCCAGAGAAAGCTCTTCTTCATCGATGTCATTACTTTCCTTTCAGCTCATCACTTTTCTCCATCATTGCTCCCACTGTGGTCGAAATAGAGCTTCAAATTTCTCCTCATATTATATGCCAGGAATGCAAACATGGATTTTCTCTGTGTGTAGAAGTATTCTGTTATATTCGAACATGGAGCTCCACCATAACAGACCTGTGTGAAAGTCCAAAAAAACAATCAGAATCAGATGTGCTATGTTGCCGTCTGAAATTGCTATTTAACCAGCACTGAATATGTTTTAAATAATGAGTCAGTGCTTAACATGTTTGCCTATTTCAAGTAAGAAGCCTTTCTTTAATTGCAAACTGTTGGTAGAGGAGGAGGGATGAATCATGTCACAATGTGTGGGCGCCCTGAAACAGCTGTTTAAATCTCGTTTTCCATACACAACAAAATCATTTCTTTCTGTGCCCCCTGTTTTTTTTTAACTGACCCATGCCTGTTCCAGCATGTGATGAACTTTGTCCACATTGGGATGGCTTTTGAAAACTGCCTTACATAAATTTGTCTGAATATCACTTAATTATTTTATAACTTTTTTTATATACTTCTACTTTTTTTTGAATAGTTGCTTCTTTCTAACATAGCATTTGTCTTTATCACTTAAACGCCTCCTCTTTTTGTATAGGGCACCACTGAAAGTACGTTCATATGGCTCACTTCTGAGTGGTTGAACATTGCTAATGGTGTTCCCCAAGGTTCTGTTTTAGGTCCACTTTTATTCTCCATCTACATCAACAGTTTAGGTGAAAATGTGGATGAAGCTACTTTACATTTTTATGCGGACGATACCGTTATGTACTGTGCAGGTCCCTCCATTAAGGAGGCTGTTGTTAAATTACAGGCTGTTTTTAACATTATTCAGACTCAGCTCTCTGAACTAAAGCTTCTTTTAAATGTTGATAAAACCAAGGTAATGCTCTTTTCAAAAGCTAAAAAGACACCAGAGACTGCTTTGGATATTGTAACTGCGCAAGGAATAATACTTGAAGTGGTTGCCTGTTACAAATACCTTGGTATCTGGCTTGATGATTGTCTCACTTTTAAACTTCAGGTCAATAACCTGCTTAAAAAGCTGAGGGTTAGACTAGGTTTCTTCTTCAGAAACAAGTCCTGTTTCTCATTTGAAGCCAGGAAAAGGCTAGTCACTGTGACCTTTTTACCTGCCCATTGCCTGAACAAGTTAGATGCCGCCTATCACAGTGCACTGAGATTTGTCACAAATTGTAAAGCACTCACACATCACTGTACACTGTATACCAAGGCAGGTTTGCCATCACTTATTGTACGGAGGCTCAGTCATTGGTACACGTTTATTTATAAAGCCATGTTGGGTAAACTCCCATATTACATCTGTTCACTGATAACACAGAGAGTTGCAAGCAGCTATTGTCTGAGATCGCATGATGTAGTCTTGTTACATGTGCCAAGAGCAAGGACTGTCTTAGGTAAGACAGCTTTTATGTGCGCAGCTCCACTTGTTTGGAACAGTCTACAGCTAAAATTGAAACTGAACAATTTTATTCCTCTGAATGTTTTTAAAGCTAGTCTAAATGAAATGCTCATTGAAACTATGGGTTTTTGTAAATGTTGATAAGTATGTAAATGTAGCTTGTAAATATGTTGTATGATATCCTCTATTGTTTTATGTTGTTTCATGTGGAACCTAATTGCTGCAGGTCTCCCTTGAAAAAGAGATCTATGATCTCAAGGGACAATCTGGTTAAATAAAGGTTTGAAATGAAAAATCAGATTTCTCAAGCTGTGACCAAGGTCTCTGTAACTAGGCTCTTGTTTTATGTTGCGAGTGCGACACTTTCAATTTTTTTCTTAATGCATGATCAACATGCATAACTCCCTAGCAGTGAAGTGATATGCTTTCAACCTTGTATGGTCACCTGCATGGGACTGAAATGAGAAGCAGTACGTTTATTTTAATAACAGCTTGACTCACCTTTTGATGTGAAAAGAATGGGGCTTATTTCTTTCTGACTTGCGCTTCAATAGCACAAAGCAAAAGGAGAGGAGCTTTGATTGCAGTGGGAAATATTGGCTTTCTCCCTTACTGTGGTGCCAGATGTTCGGCTTAAAAAAGGTCAAAGGAGAAAGAGGAGAATGTGGATGCTCTCTCGCACCCTCTGCCATGGTCAGCTAAGCTACGCTGTAGCGCTGAGAGGATCAAATCTGGATGATCTCTTTTCCTCGTTCTTGAATTGTAATGGTAGAGACTCAGTCACCGCTCCACAGACAAATGGAACATATAGAGGATTATCTCCTGTTCGTCATATCTGCTTATTCATCGGGCTCTTAGTTTCTGTCTTCTTTGCAGCAGAAAACAAAGGATTGTGATGCACTATAGTATGACATCCAGGTGAAATATCTGGGTATTGAAATTGGGGTAAAAAGGAAAGTGATGGCCATATTTCATCAGGGCCTCTAACTATAGATCAGATCAGTGCTGAATTCTGTTCCCTTTTACTATATCTTTGTTCAACCAAAGATCAGATTCAGTGTTCCCTGGGTCTGTTTGTTTTACGCTATCTTTTGACTCTGCTCTAGAGTGTCAATATCAGAGCAGGTTCATGTGACCATGGTCATTCCTCTATCAGCTGCAGTGTTTGGCTCTCGTAAGCTTGGAGTGTTGATGTCAACTGTCCACTTTACCTTTGTCTCTTCAACAATGGTCCTCTTCTCTTCCCCAACAAATATATTTATCTACTAGTTGTACTTATTTGTAGCTGCTAGGAGGGCTCTTAGTGAACAATTTCAACATTTTCTGTTGAGCCTCTTATCTGCCTTGTTCTCTGGCTTTTTTTCTGTCTCATTCAACTCAAATGATAATTAAAGCCCTAAGATGAAATGCATTAATACAGCCTGCTCAATTGCTGTGTGTGCATTTAAAATGTAGATGTAGAAGCAGTTCGATGATGTCGGTCCGCACAGACATGAACGTTGTTATTATTGAAGCAAACATTCATTTGCCGCCAGATTATTTTTATGGTCAATGAAGGCAATTACAATACAACTGTTGTCATCGATCCGCTTTCATGTTGCGAGTATTACACAGAGATTTGATCGAGTTCTCCAGTTCAGCAGGGGATGGATTATTGTTGACCTTGTTAGAGATATGTTAGTGGACACTAAATAGAGTATTGAACTGTAGGGATGCTCCGATCGATCGGTCACCGATCGAGATCTGCCGATACTCACTCTCTACCGATCGATCGGTGCTCTCTAAACATGCCGATCGCGAGGGCGGATCGCATGACGTAAAATACATGACATTTTTCTCTGTACGCGGCAAAATAAGCTCGCCAAAATGGCTTCACCGGTCTGGCATTATTTTAAGGTGTCCGAAAAAGACAGTAAAATAGCGGTATGCAACGTGTGTGTGAAGCAGAAATCCTGCAGCTCCACCCGCTGTGACGGACCGGTGAGCGGAGCGAAACACACAAGAGTTAGACCTAACACACTTAGCTATTTTATCTACCTCTGGAACAAGCTAAACTAGTTATAAATATGTTTATTCTTCACTGTCGGCCTCACACATTACTGGATCAGCGAGCTGCATGAGACGATACTGACGGGCTGTCAGGAGAGGGAGAGAGAGAGGGAGAGAGAGGAAAAGAGAGCGCTTGCTAATTTCTCCCGTGGTATTATCCAAAGTGAATGTAAACTTGAATAATATACATAATTTGAATGTAATAATTAAGTTGATTGTTGTTTGTGGAAGCTCCAGTGAATGAGCCCCATTAACTGAGTTTTAAACATCACTTTAAATGGAAGATTTAAAGTGATGTTTAAATCTTCCATTTAGGCCCCGCCCACTCGATCGGATCGGATCGGCGATCGGTATCGGCAGATACTGATTCCGGCGATCGACGATCGGCCCCAAAATTGGCGATCGGAGCATCCCTATTGAACTGTATTGATACATACTGTAAGGGATGGAGGCTACAGAGATAGGTTTAAAATAGCTGAGATAAAGTCATCATGTTAACCAGATAAATGCTGATATGAAAATGTTTGCTGTTGTTCTACTTCCAGGCAATTTGCCAGAATTGTCCGCCACATCTCATGGCTTTTATGGAGCAGATGGAGTTTCAAGCCTCTGTATTTAAAAACGATGTACTTGTTACAACATACGAAGCATTGTATTTTGGTCATGTGATAACAGGTTTTTGTGTTTTGGAAATATGGACGGTGTAGGGGCAACATAATGTAGTATACTCACCTTGTGTTGGGTCCATCTTTTATTTCTTAGGGCAATCATTGTTACCGTCCTATTATTGTGTTAATGTTTCAAGTGTGGGTGAAAAGCATTAGTTTAAAGAGTTAGTTGAAAAGTTGTTCACACATGTAAATGTTGTTTTCAGACTGTCCCCCGTTGTTGCACAGATGTTCCAAACAGATTGGCCAACACTTGTATTTGACTTGTCATCTTCAACCTTTGACAGAAGCGTTGTTGTGCAATGCAGTTGCACCACACTTCCGTTTGAGTTCAGAGCCTCCCAATAGTCGCTTGAAATTGCTTTGAGGTTAGTAACAGTAACAGTACCTCAGGTTGGGGTTTGCACTTGAAATGAACACCTGCAGGGTGAGAACTACATTTCTTCAACCAGCCAAGCTGCATGTCACAACGCTCAACCCTTCACTTAAGCCTTAAAACACTTGACTAAAGTAAAACAATGAATTTGCTCATAGAGATGTTATGACAAAGAAACCAGTTGTTGGTTATAACAAATCTCTAGTATTTTCCTTTATGTCATTTTCAGGGCTTTATTAGTGGTGATGTCTGAATTTGCTTAGGGAGCAGTCTCTAATTATTTCCGACCCCAGCTTGGTTTTCAACATCAGGGATTGCCTTCTCTTGTGGTCAGCATACGCCTATACAGTTTCAGCTGGAACGGAGTTTGACGCTTCCTAATTGGGGAACTCGATCTGCCAAAAGCCCTCACACGGAGAGGGTGTGTGCTTACTGCCTTTAATAAAAGAATGCTGTCATATTTGTTCTTGCTCTGTTTTCTGACTGGGCTTTGTAGTTTTGCAATATGTAATCCTGGATAAACAACGTGGTCGCTGTCCTCTGATTGTCTTGATTGAAGCGAGAGACATTTTTGTTTTTTTTCCCCTCTAATACCTGTGTGGGGTTTTGTTTGAATCTAACGCTCTTGTTTGTATCTATTCGATAAAGGAAACTAAAATGATTCATCTAAAAGGGGATGTAGAGTAAAAATATGCAGCACTTTCAAAACAATCTTAATTCACCATAATAATCATGGCTTTTAGGATGTTCAGAGTAAGTCACAGTCATTCGCTGTGGGTCTGACAGTGCGGTTCCCACAGCTTCTTTCCAAATAAAGTGAGAAACTCGTTGTTCTGAGATACTTTTAGATTCTTAAAGCTCTGTATTGTTAGTTCTCCATGAATGTCTCTACTGTGATGGCAGACATTGGAGGATCAGCATTAATCCTTTGAAGTTTTGTTTCCTTCGTCTCTGTCTGCCTTTTGTGTGCATTTGTTTTTGTGCGATGCCACAGTCTGTGTTTTGCTGACGATGTTGTTGCTTTTTTTATAATATTCTCAGTTCTTTGGTCTTGGTTAATGGTTGCTTCCACATCTCCACAGTGACTTAACCCCCTTTTGTTTTCAGAGAGTGATGCAGAAGAGACAACTGTAGTCCTGACTAAAGGGGCAGAAGTGAAAAGAATTCCAGGTAGAGGCACTGAGACCCTGCCCGTTTATGACTGGGTGACTGTCAAACAATTGATTCGGGTGACTTTACACTGGGCTGTTTTATTATTTAATTGTTTTTCTTGGAATAAACATCTCTGCTAACTCAACCATGCAGGCTATAATTGCTCACCACTTTCATCTTCCTATAATATATTTCTTTAATTCAAAAATATTTTAGTGCTCAATCACTCATTGGAATCTTTCAATATACGTTTGCCATGATAATTTCAAAAACACAATGAGTTTAATTTTCCCCTTCATTGGGCTTTCCACCTTTGAATTAAGATTGACAATTGGTAGCTTTAATCCTACTGGGCTGCCTTTTTTAATTCTACCTTCTCCTCCTCTTTATCTGTAATGTCGGACATTTGCAGTTGGCTTTAATTTCAAGTCCATTGCTGCCATGACAGGCTGAGCTCAAACGGTGCTAACTGACCATTTTGTGTTTCAGAGTTGGAAACGGAAATCACCGGGGGACGAATAGTAGGCTCAGGTACATCTGCAGGCCCACCAACCGAACCCCCACTCATCTAATTCTCCCGCAACCTTTTTAAAAGAAAATAACAGAACCTCTTTTAAAACCCTGCGATACTTCAGCAGCCACATTTGGCTTGAAAAGCTAGTCATTTGCATCCAACAGTTACTATCAGGGGAAATAATTTGGGTTTCAAATTCAAAGTCAATTCTGACTACTAGTGAGGAACTCAACATCTGCTCAGCTCTTTCTCCACATGAAGTGTGATACAACACTGCCCTCTGTTGTCCTGGCTCAGTAACAAAATGGTTGGCAAGTGAAGCAGTCTGCAGGCGTTTTGATGCATAATACTGTTTCCACACAACAACATTTGTGTTACTGGTTAGGACCCTGCCGCTTTGATTTCTCCCAAGCTGCTGCCTCGGCTTGGCCCTCTGGCTGCTTTATGCTTCTCAACAGAAACATAGTGCACACACACACACACACACACACACACACACACACACACACACACACACACACACACACACACACACACACACACACACACACACACACACACACACACACACACACACACACACACACACACACACACACACACACACACACACACACTCTTCTTGGCTGCTATGGCTAAGTCCCAATCCTCCAGGGCAGTGCTTGGATCCTTCCCTAACCAGCCGTCACGCATTCCCATTGTCTTTTTCTTTATCTTTCTCCTCCAGCTTCTCTGTGAAGACAAGATCCGCAACCACAGGAGTAATACCACGCTCTTCCTACTTTCAACTAATGCCCATCTTAAACGTAGCCTTCGTCATGCTAATCACAGCATTTTACTGACAGAAATTCATATAACTTGTTAACACTTTTCTGATCTATAAGTATCATTATAGAATACACGACATAGATACTCAATCGATAACATTGAGAATAACGTTCTAATCTCCCCATACATATTTACCTCTGTGCTTCTCTGTCTTCTACCTTAACGTTTCACCAGGCACCTATTGGCCGCCCCTTTGGTTGTCTATAGGTGATCTCTAACTTCTTTTTTTCTAACTTTATTTTCAACAGATTGTTTTGGCTGGCTTCTCCCTAATCGCGCTTGTTTTTCTTTCCTCACAAATCCTTAATTCTAATGCTTTATTTTCTTTTACATTCGCCATTTTGTTTTCCCCTGTGAGCGATGCACAGGTTGTTTACAACTACAGCCAATGAGCTGATAGTTGAAAACGATGTACATTGGATGAGCAGTACTAATGATCCGACCATATACAGTTTTCAGATGCCGTGCTTTCTATCTTTGTAGATCTGTGCGATAATTTCTATCTCTGTCTGTCTTTTCCAGTGTATGATAAGCAGGGCTTTCTGCTGCAGCTGGACACAAAACTGTGAGTACATGTCTTTCTAGAAAACATTTCTGCCATTTCAAATATGGTATATTTATCACCTAATATATTTAGAGCAGTTGAATCCCCAGTTGCACTTTGACTCCATTACTTTGGATTTGTTTAACAGCTTGCTCCACTGAATACTTATTCATGCCACTTCTAGTTGATCGATTGGAAACATGAAAACGTAAACCTTCAACCAATGAATCTTTAGTTTTTTTTAAATAAACATACATCAGTTCATTGGTGTTCTAACCAAAACCTGGTGACAAATGCACACGCTTAATTTGTGCTCTGAGTAATACATAGGAAGATTTGTGGGAATTGAGATGTGGTTGGTCTTTTTCCCCTTTTTATTCCAAACCGGCTGTGGTTTGTCAGGCTGAGAACATGCTACGTTGAGTCATTACCCAGCTGTCATTGTGTCAGCGTGTCTGTTGATATGTGTATAATTCCATGAATTGGTTTGACACTCTGGCTCTAAACTGCCACGATAAGGCCCTCTCTCCAGCCCTTCCATTAGCATGCAGGCAACAATCGTAATGCTCCCCTCACCACCCCGACTCTCACAGGGCACATCTGTCCACACTCTGCACATCCACTGTAAGCACTGTGTCAGCACACACGTTAGGGTGGTTTTCACATGGCTTCAGTTTATCTAATACTGCTCCTTACATTATATCTACAGTCTCATTCATTACTCCGTTAGAGCACATGTGTAAAATGGGGCAATCCATCTTAAAACTCTTTATTCGTTTTTGTGAGTTGTAATTCCTGCTGATAGCCTTCATTCCTAACAAACCACATACCAACTTAAGGCCAAGCTTTATTGTAGCATACTTACAAATATTAATTTAGTGCAGAAGAGTTTCAAATGTGTGCACAAGCCCTCTGCCAACTCTGATTGCAAGGCAATTTATTTATATAGCAACTTCAACAAAAGGCAATTCAAAGTGCTTTACTAAATTGAAAAACATTAAGAGCAAGAGCTTTAACAAAAAGTGTAGCGAAATCACTACAAAATGGCTTTTAAAAACAGTCATTAAAAAGCAAATAAAATAAACATAAACAAGCTAATATAGAATAATACAGCTATAAAATACATGAATGAAAGTTACAGTGCATAAATATTCAATTAAAAGCGGCAAAAAGACAATTCAATTTAAAAGCGGGAAGGCCTCACACAGTGCCCTGACTTGGGACTCTCCCCCTTCTCCCTGTTTATTTGAACTAGATTCATGGCCTTCACCAGGTTATTAATGATCATGCTAGTAATCGGGAGGTTCTAGCTTTAGCACCGCCTGTGTGATTATTTGAACAAGGCCCCTCTGCTTTGTCCTGCCACACACAGGTGATGCTGAGCCCTCCAACTTCCTAAACCACCCGTTTTTCTCTTGAGCACGTTGTTTGACAAGCTCCGTTTTTTGGGGCTTAGATATACGTCAGTGTAATTGATAATCAGTTATCACGATGTGTCTGATTAATCGCTCCCTCTGTTCTTTTAATGTGCAGGCCACAGGAGTTGGCGTACAAGTATGGCAACCTCAGCGAAGGAGCGTGCAAGCCGGGATACGCAGCAGCCAAGATGACCACCATCTATCCTAAGTGAGAAGGATTTTTGCTTGCATAACAGTGTGGAGATAGATTTGGATCCTTTCTTTAAACTTGCTCTAAGAACTTCACATACAATCACAAGCTTCACACAGTAATCATTCTAATTGGTTGAAAGCGTAGAAAAAGCTAAAACTGTCGGACATACCAAGAAGCATGATGTCACTCCTCAAGCCAACTTGGCCTTAAGGGTTTTGAGTCAGACACAGAGAAACCCACACATTCCTCTCCAATCTTCCCCAGTTTTTATCATGTTTCTATCATCTTCTCCCCCGCGACAAAACCCTGACTGTGTTCTTGTGACCCCGTTGTTAAACAAAAGCACTTTTGTCACACGAGGACAAGATCTCCCATCCTTCTCATATCGCAGCGGACAGCCTTCGAGGCTTTCTTCATGAACGGCACCGACCAACTTCCTGTCCTGACTCATCACCAGCTTCCTGCTACACAAACCACACAGTCCACGCAACCCTCATCGACCCTTTTCTGATGTCATTGGCTTTTTTGAGTTTTCTATTTTCCACTACTTGCCACCAAACAGCTCAATCTATAGAGCATTGTCCCAGCAGGGGCTAAGCTAGTAGAGGGGCGATTTACAGCATTGCTGAACAATAGTATGTCAAAGCCAGTACAGAATTAGTTATAGGATTTGACTAATTTCTTAGAATTAGTATTGAACGGATTTATCTATTGATTGAGGATGAAAAATTACGCTCATAGCTATACAAAATAAAGTAAAGAATATTTTCCTTTTCACTTTTCTTTACATATGGCTTTGTCTCCCTGCCTGTTTGATATTCTGGCCTAATATTCTCTTAAAATAAGTTGATCTCAAAGTCTTAAGTTAGTCTATTCAAACCGTATGGCATTATATATTCAGTATATATCAAATTCATTGACAAACCAACTTAAAAACATCACCCTCAGCCGTGCACTGTCAGCTATAATGTGCTGCTCAACAAGACTGAAAGCAGTGGAAATGCGCCAGGGCCTCGCACGGCTTAGTACGGTATAGTTAGGCCCATGGATGTATAATAAGAACTGGATACAGCGTCGGAGGCGGGGTCTCGTTCTTTCCTATGAGAGCTGCTCATTGGCGCAGGAAGACAAAATGGCCCAACTTTTGAGAGGGCGAAATGTCACAGATTACCCATCATGCCTAGCTTTCAGAGCTGAAGAACCCGTATGTGCGCTCACAGAGCATGCGCCCCTTAAGCCCCGGCGCCCCCCGAGCTCCCACTCTCGGCTCAGTAGAATGAATGGAGACAGAAATTAAATCTAGATTCGGCTTTTAGTGCATTTTACAACTTTAAGGACCTAATGATTATAATAAGGGCTATAAAATAGTTCATACTGGGTAGTTTATTTAGTTTAAAAAATATTATCCGCTGATTTACAGACGTTTCTTTCCCAATGTTAGTCAATGGGGAAAAGTCTTTCTGGGTCCAGTGACGTCACGGACTGATACGGAAATTGTAGTACCGCCGTTTGGACACAACGAATATTTTCATCAGAGTCCGGTGCACTTCCTGGGGGCTTGCTTGGTAGGCCAGGCTCACTTTATGCTGCGTTTCCATTACAGTTTAGTAGCTGGGGCAGTAACTATAGTAACGCAGTGTAGGCGGAGCCGTGACGTCATCTTCAATGCGAACCACAGAAAACCAACATCAGCCGTTAGCTGTTAGCACTCAAGCTCACAGCTCCTCATATCTGTTCAGAAACTAGACAAAAGTTAAACAAGTACAAACCACAGAGTGTCTGTGTCATGGCGAATACAGTCGCTGGTTTATTTATGTCTGTATAGGCCGTTGTTGTGAGTGTGGACGGTCGGAGCATATACTGCGTTAGCTTAGCCGATCTCCATTCAGAAAACACGCATTTTAAAAGGTTTTTCGCCTGCCGTCTTGTCCATGGGAGCCTGCCTGCAGGCGCCAGTCTCAGGACACCTCCACTCTCAGGACACCTCCACTCTCAGGATACCTCCACTCTCAGGACAAGAAGTGCATGCACGCTAAGAATTACAAAATAAAATCGCCATTATCAGTACAGCGCCACTTTCCGAACAGAAAATGCACGCAAATACAAAATAAAATCGTACTGACACTTATTATATACATATGTGTGTATATATATATATATATATAAATAGGGACACCTTGTATTGTTTACTCTCAGGACAGCACCACTTTCCGAACAGGAAATGCACGCTAATACAAAATAAAATCGCACCGACTTGATTGATTGAATTGATTGAAAAGTTTATTAACAGCTTGTATATTGGGTACAGTACAGTACAACTCAAAACATACAATTGTTAAGGGGATGCAGACCAGAGAAAGACTTTCGTCTTGTTTACATCAGGGTCCCCCATTTCCAATTCATCATATCATTTAAGACATATAAGACATATTTGACATACAGATGGCTTATTTACAATTTACATACAGGTGGTTTTTTACATACAGATGGCTTATTTACAATTTTCATTTTAGATTTCGTTCTAATACATCCTAACCGGACATTTAAGACATACCAAGTCTACAGATATACAGTTAGTAACAGAGTCTAAAATGCGAGTATATACATAGATGGGGGGGGGAAGCTGTCCATTGTACGACAGGTTGAGATTTGTACCATTACCGGGGCCAGTTTATTATACTTATAAACACTTATTATATCTATATATATATATATATATATATATATAGATATATATATATATATATATATATATATATATATATATATATATATATATATATATATATATATAGATATATCTATATATATATAGATATATATATTTATATATAAATAACGACATCTTGTATTTTAGTTACACCCGCTCAGGCCCTTGTGGACCCACGCAAAGTTATATGATGAGGCCCTCTGTGTCGCGAGCGTCGCCGGGGGGTGGTGCTAGTGGAGCCTCGCAGCGGCCAAACTGTGGCGCGCGTACACTGTAGGTGCGCCGCATTTGCGCTTCAGATGAGGCTCCCTCCGCAAAGACACGCTAGACAACATTGGAGGGTTCGAGAAACAACCTTTTTTGCCGGGTGCACCGCTGCGGGACCCGTGGTGGGACCCTTGAGTCAGACGGTGCATCTTGGTCACGCTTCATATCGGCCGGCCCGGGAAGGAAGAGACACTCAGAGTGGGGGGAGTCCCCCACCCCAACGCAGCACACCCTCCCGGCCATCAGAGTCGAACCCGCAGTTCGGAGGAACCGACCGCCAGAGCACCGGCACTAGGCCGGGCCGGTGGAGGCCCTCCGATGGTGGGTCGCGTTTGCCATTCGATCAGTGAGAGGAGAGGAGAAAAATGCAACCAAAATTGTCAAAATCCGTTAATATATGGATGAGTGGGGGTGGAAACGGCTGGACACAGGCCGTGGGGGGACACCCGAGACCGTGCAGTGTCCCCGGAAGAAGGAACCGGGTGAAATAGCCAAAAAAAGAAAAATTAATAAAACCGGGGAAAAGTGAAAAAAAGTGTCCGAAAATAGGCACTTGTGAGGCGGGCAGAGTCCCCTGTCAACCCCCGTTACATTCCTCCATGGTGTCATTTGAGCGAAAAATGGCTAAGTCAACTTTTACGAGAACCAGGCTGGGGGGGACAAAAGGGCTTGACCAAGGCCGACCCAAAGTGCATGGTGAGCAGACTCATCACCTCCGTGATGAGTCTCCATTGTGATTTGAAAACTTCCATCAGACGAGTCCTTCGGGGGGCGGGGAAAAAAACGCGTTCGTCAGAATCGTCACTTCCTGTACTGAGAGTGGAGGTGTCCTGAGAGTGGAGCCTGCACCGGAACTGTCCTGAGAGTGGAGGCCTGCAGGCAGACCCCTCTCCTCTGGTCTGCAGACTTGTCAAAGCATTAATTCATGGTTTTTACTAACCGGTATCAGTATGTTGTTACTTCGGCATCATTTTGAAACGTGTATTACAATTAAATCACGGTAAAATATGTTCATTTTGTTGTAGTTGTAGCCCCCTTGCCAGCGATTCTCTCTCTAGTTTAGCATACTTAGCCCGGTTGTTAGCCCGGAAAGAACCTGGATTTTGGAGAGCCAGAAAAACTGTGAAACAGTACCCGTTAGCCGGAACTACCCCTAGTGGAAACGCAACAAAAAACGGGCCGGGTTTGGCACGGCACGCTTAAACCGTGCTACGCACTGCAGTGGAAATGCGCCATTAGTGGACTGCCCTCTACCTATACGAGAGGCTACATGTTAACAATGTCCTCCCTCTTAATGACTTCCTCTAATCAGCCGCACGTGTCGGATCAAAGTTCTGCACAACAACGAGCCTCCACTGGGAGCCCGCTGATTACCACCACCTTCAACCCAGTCACACATAGGTCAATGAGCACAATTAATGCAGCGCTTGGTGTGTATGTATGTGTTTGTACGAACGAGTGTTAGTGTATGGTAGAACCTACACAACCCGAGCAGTTTGTGATTAATCACGTCCTGTGTGAAAAGGAGTCAACCAATTAACATCTTGTTTGTTCACTCCGTCTGCATTGTATGTTTACATGGCCAAAACAATTTAAAAGTCCTTGTTAGCATTTTGTTTAAATAGGTGTGGCCCAGAGTTCAGCCGTTAGAAAAAACCTACTTAACCTCTCGCAGTGAGGTCCGCTTATGGCCCTCCCTCTAATCATCTCCTGCTTCCTCCATGTTTGTCTTCTCTGAAGCCCTCTGCCCTGCAGAATCCAATTTATTTTCCACACCTCCCCTCCCCTCTGCTTTACCCAAAACTGTTTGTATTGAAGCCCTAAATCAAGTGTTGGCAGTGAACTGGAAGAGGCACGGTTATGAAAATATTGCCCGTGAGAGATAGACCTAGCAAAGGAAATGAGCACAATGTGTCCGTGCCTGTTGGCTGTTTTGGGAGCCCTCTCTTTTGATCCAACAACAGGCAGCCCCCTGTCTCTCTGCTCTGTCAGGATGTCAGTGACTGACTGTCAGTCAGGGCTCAGTGACTTGCAGCGGTCCTGTGTTATTTATAGCCACTTCTGGCCTCAAAAGTCTTGGGTTAAATGAATCTCCATTTGTTTTGGCAGGACAGACGTCTCTGAGCGGTTGTGCCCCTGTTGGGTGATGTGAGGAGGAGATAACGCCCTCTCCCCTTGTCATCTCTCTACTTTGATACTTTAAACCTGGAGGATGATGAGGGTATCAAGGACCGATTAGGGTGCTCGGAAGAGCTTTAAGCTAACCAGAAGGCTTCCCAATAATGTCGACCGTGTTTGGTCATTCACAGCTCCATGTATTTCTTGTAAACCCATGGAGGTATTATGGGAACGAGCTATCCATGATTCCTGCTGAGAAACAAGGGAGTGTGACCCGTCCTGATTCCAGTTAGAAATGCCATCGCATTGTTATTGCATAAGAAGTCTTAATTTATGGTTGGTGTTAGAAAGAACCGCCATGCGAGTATGTTCGCGTGTGTGCAATTATTATGTCTCTGCTGGTCTGGGTTCAGCTAATCTCTGTGCAACTGTCTTCTATTATAAACAAAATAATGAAAACCAGCTCAATAGATGTCTCTGAGGCGCCTAGCATTGTCTTTTCTGTGTGTCTCCTGATTGATTATTTAGGTCTGACAAGGAAAGGCAAAGAGCTTTATGCATGTTAACGTTAGAAAAGAGACAACGGAAGAGGCTGTCTCCCCCCCCCCCCACCCCCCCCCCCCCCCCCCCCCCTCCAGCTTTACAGCAGGTCATAAAAACACACATTCATCCTGGAGCCACACTTGCAGAAGTGGCACGTAGCCCAGTATTCGGGTCGCAGGCGTGACTAAGAGGAAATTGATTATTTTGATTTTGAACTGAAATGAATCAAAGAGGGACACACACGCACTTATACAGACACACAGGATGAGGAAGAGGCATTGCTGGAAGTAGCCTTTCATGGGGCGTTAAGAACACAGTTACAGACGTGTTTTTGAATATAAAACTCAATTAGTTTTTTAATGTGGCAGCAGTTTAACTTGCCTGTTCTTTGTCATGAGTGAAAACAAACCTCACTTCGAACACTCACATTCAGTTTGTATAAACAGTCTCGGCTCAAATCATTTGAGGAAAAGCATTCTGGCAGGAGTATGTTGTCCCAGCAGATTTATTGAAACCAAGTGTCAGCTGTGATTAAGGCCTGGGTGGAGAGGTTATGTTGATGGGTGATGCACTGCAGCAACTCTCTGTCACTCCTCCGCTCAGTTCTTGAGCTTTTTTTTACTCATGTGCGCACACACACACACACACACACACACACACACACACACACACACAGTTGTTTTTATGACTTTAGCAGGAAAGGTGGGGATGCCATTCGATCAATGACAGTGGAACAAGGGATTTAATGTATCATTTTATGGCTTAAACTTTGCCACAGTCAATATAGCTACTGTTCAAGGTGGAGCTGGTTTCATAAAGAGGAGCAAAGGTATGCGAGGGAACGCACAACAAAAAATAATAACTTCCCTTTCTCCTTCTCCTTCCTTTCCTGCGTCTCTTTGCAGGTTCATGAAACCAGCACCCATGTTTCTTGATCGAAACTTCAAACTTCTTGCAAAAGTCAGCAATTACTTACCTCCGTTTGGATTCAAAACACAAGGTAAGAATGGTTCTTGCTATCTGTTACCTTCTGTTTGTGATATCTACTGTACTATCTACTGTATTTTTTTAACAATGCCTCAAAGGATGTTGCCTATACAATAAAATTACTAGTATTAGATTTGATCCAGTGTGCATGCTTAAAAGCTCAGAAGTTTTGATACAGGAGTTTGACATCGGCTGCGTGTTACAGTATGTTGTGCCTGCGATGCCTGGCATCTCAGAGTAATAAAACATCTGATTGAGTTGGCACCAAGCCCAGATTTGTGTGTTTTTAATATTGCCCAGATGATTTACAGTTTTATCAAACAAGTCCAATATTTGTATTTAAGTAAGGGCTGCTAACCTTGTTCCCGTATCCTTATTCATCAGCTGGCTTCCCCTACTCTATCTACTTGTCGTCATTGTAAATTCTGAGACTCTTAAACAAACTGTGAACGTCTCTTATGAGGCAGGTTTTCTATAGTCTAATGTTCCCACTGAAATTCATTTTGTTGCTTCTTTGAAAAGATTGTGAGTAGCTATTCAGAAGTATGAAATCAAGCTGGTTATTTTGTCCAAATACCTGCTCTTTTTAAACTCTCCCCGAGGTTTCACGCTGATGGTTCAGCTGCTTGGAATGCTAGTGTCACCACCTAGCAATTTTCATTATTTGTCATCGTTGCAGGGCTGATGCTTTTGGCAGAATATAATCTGCCTAAGGTTTCAGTTTGTTACTCTGCCTTATCATAAATTAAGAGTAAGTGAGACATGTCATCCATTACAGTGTAATTTAACTCACATGCAGTATTTGCCAAATGTATGCCATCACGAAAAAGAAATGGGACAGGGTTTGTTTTTGAAAGCTGAGATTTCAGATGAAATGGCTAAACAGTGCAAGGAATTTTCTAATATTTGCAGTATCCATGTGTTATTGTATTGAATTTTGGATCCAATTCCTGGTTGGCTAAGTACTCAGAATTGTAAAAACCTGATGCTAGCCTTTCTCATGTCAAGCCTTTTAGCTGTCCTCACGCTTTTTTATTAGCGAAGAGCAATGGAAAACAGATAGGCAGCAGGCACATTCATTTCGTAATGTTCTTTAGTTAATGTCATTTCTGCAGCTGGTGTCTGTCTTGATCAAACATCACTTTTGAGTGATAAGAAACATGTCTCTGTAACACCTCTTGGTCTGAGTGGACTGCGTTTTTTTTTATTCAGTAATGAAGTGACAGTGGAGACTCTTCTTTAAACTAGACAAACAATCTGATCGACTCTTCAGCTAAATAATCTCAATCAGGACCTTCAGTTTTTTGAGTTAGTAGCAGAGTTAGTGCAATAGTCTATAGCTGTTTATTGAAGATGTCAGATACATTTCACTAACCTTTCAAATGTTGCTCACCTTTAAACTAACTTGCTATATATTATATTAAATGGATGTTTTACTTTGGACAGTTATAAGCCTCAAACTCTGGCTCTGCTGGTTCTATAACCTTCTGACGTAAATCTTAAGTTCTCTTAATAAAGTGTAAAATATATGGCCCTTAGTGATATTCATTTGTTTCTTAGATGAATTCTATCTTTGGACCAGGGAACACGTACGTCTCCCAACACTCCAGCTTTAATGTTTCCACACACACTGCATGTACTTGTTCCCTGACCTTAACACACTCCAGCACTTCAGATATCAAACCAGCACACAATGCCATGGGAACTGAAGAGATAACATTAAACGGACTTCAGTGACATGCTCCGTCACATATTTTCCAATACTTAGAAGGTACAGTGAATGTTACCTTTGTGCTCTGTGCAAGTTCTCCGCTGTCACATGAACACACACAGACACACACACAGTTTGAGTTGCTATCAAAAGAGCACACCCTGTGTGAGTGTTACACCTGGTTTCTGTTTTCTCCACGGACTGCCATGGCACTGGGGTTTCCCTTTTAGCGGTACTCATGTGGAGAGAGGATACGTGTGGATCCTGAATAGAACGCCACAAAGGATTCCAAATTGGGAACATGGAGTGGCGGAGGTGGACGGGAGGTTTATTTTTACTTTTTATTTTGCCATGAGGTATCTTTGGCTTGCATCAACCACATCATCAACATTAAAGCTGTTTTGATTCGGTCTCAGAGAAAGAAAATAACGTCAGCTCTGCAGGATGCCAGTCAGCCACTGAACAGTCAGTTTGAGTAATAGGCTATATTTTGCACCAACTGTTATTTTGGTTTTGTTACTTTGTGTAAAATGAAACCAAATGATATCTCTTTCCGAATTTCATCCAAAGAGAACTTTAGTAAATAAAAAAATAATAATCAGCACCCAAAGGATTATACAGATAAAGGAATTGACTCAATATATTTGGAGAAAATCAACATTTGGCTAAAGAGATTTAGCTAACGGAAATAAGCCTTTATGCATTATTTCCTTCTAGCAGTTGTTGAGTGCAATGTTTTATTTATTTTGATTAATAATTATAGGAGTTTGATGTTATTGCACTGCTTTTTCTTTTTTGTAACATGAGACAAGAGCAGGTGCACAAGTCTATGAGTACATTCATAAAACCACTGTTAAATATATGAAATAGTCACCACAAAAAACAACACATTTGCTTAATTTCAGCAGGGCCCTGAGCCTTGAGTATTGAACCTAAATGTCTTTTCAATAACAGTTTCTCTTAAATTATTCAGCAGATTGATGAATCATATTTCTGGGCAATTGGGTTTTCACTGTGGACGCGATTGTTTCAGTCTCAATTTCCCCCAAACTGAAGTCCCAAACAACATTAGTAAGGATGCAACATGTTGCCAGAAAGATGTTGAAAAGTGCTACCATATTTTATTTAACGTTTTTCGACGTACAAAGTTCAAATAAAGACTGTACCACTTTGGTCCCTACAGATATGTTTCAAGATTTAGTTATCATTATCTTTGATAAACGAGTCAACGCACCACAGTCAAATTATAGATGTTTCCCATTTTTAACCATGGCAGTTGATGCTGAGTAAAAAGTCTACCAAAGAGCAGCTCTGACAAATATCTCTCGCTATCATCACAATATTCTTTTCTATTGTTTAGACTACGCTCTTCCCAACAATGTGTCTGTGTTTATGTGTCACAAGATGCTTCCTACCTTCCACTGTTACCACTAAAGATTTTTGCCATTTCAAGAGTTCCTTGTTGGACCAAAGTCTGAACCTACAGCCATTCGTCTTCGGCTCTACCAGGAGACATACTTCGCTGAAATGTTTACCCCGGGTACTTATAACAATTAGCTTCCATGTCGTCCTCTGGAAGAGAGTCCTGCCCATTGTGATTTTTCACTTTTCACCCGCTTGGATCCAGGTGTGGTCCTCGGCGTGTGTTTATGCTGTTCGGGGTGATGCTTGATGCCAGACATCGACACCACATCCAAACAATGGGCTGTTGCTCTGCTCTCCTCTCCTCGGCAGGTTAATCATTAGGATCGTTAGCCCGGGTGAATGGGGCTGCAATATGTCTCACAAACTGCTCTGAGGCCTCAGTCCAAACTCTCTCGTTCTCACTCTGCCTTGACTCTCACTTTTTCTGTTTCTCTTGGCCCCCTTTGCAGACTATGTGCTATATGGTGATTATATTAAGTGAAGTAGAGAGAGCCATAAAAATGCCTTTTAACTTTTATTAAATGTGACACAGGTAGATTTCTTTTCATGCAATAAATAGAATAGAATTGATTGGAATAGAAAACCTTTATTGTCATTGTACTTAAATATACAACGAAAAATAAAGGACGGATGATTAACTGCTATAATTAAATCAAAAGACAACCCAGGGGGTCCGCGGGGTCTTAAAAAGTATTAAAAGTTGAAAAATAAATTTAGCGAAAATTAAGGCTATTAAAAAGTATTAAACGGCATTTTCCAAGGTATTACATGTTGTAGCTTGTTTTCAATAAGTATATAAATTGTCCAAAGAGGTTGTATTCTACAGTTTGCCTGTATGTCATCATTGCGTAGGTGTGTAGTGTGATTCTGTGTAGTTTATTTATGGCATCCCGTTGGATTTGACGTCATCTGAACAGGACATCGCACGCTCACTGCTTGATAGCGCGCGAAGCTCCGTTTACGCCGGTTGTTGAACAACATCGTTATGGGGAAATGCAAGTTTGCGTCCAAATGGTTGGAAGATAAAGAGGAAGGACAATCAATACTGTATATAGTAAATGTGAGGTAAAGTGTGTCGCCAATGTAACCGGTTAAAACTCGAAGTGGCGATGAGGTCTTAAAATGTATTGAAAGGGTCTTAAAAATTGTCTTAAAAGGTATTACATTTGACTTCAGGATTCCTGCATATACCCTGCAACCCTTCTTTGGTGCTTCCGCATAACTGCAAACGTAACTTGGAACAAAGATAGTAACAACTGTAATGGATTCTGCACATTTTGGACGTCGCGATGATGAAAGTACGGGAGCCCAGAGACTTGGCTCGGCCTAAAAATGGTCAGGAGGGGGGGAGAAATAAATATAATATCTAATACAGGAAGCATGAGTCGAGCAGCATGCCCTGTAGAACATGGCAGGAATTCGCGCTATGGCTAAACATCCGCGATTCTCACCCTGCGATCAGAGGGGTGCTGGCCGCGCAGGGAGACGAGCTCCACATCGCCCACTTAACCAGGAGAATGTGCTTGTTTGAAAACAGCATTCCTCCCTGAGTGCTTTTATGGGAGAGTTTCTACACACACACGCATACCATCCCAAACCCTGTATGTCTGTTTCTACCAGATCCACTCCCCTCAAGAACACAACAGCTTTCTTCTCTCCATCATCCCATCATCACTACTTCTGTGGTGCTGATGGGTCGCTCCTTATCTGTGACTGAATAAACGGAGAGAGGTGTTCTCTCCTCCAAAGGTCTTCAGACCACCTAGATTGCTTTATTTCTAGTGGTATGTCAAAGTCCTTGGCAAGGAGACATTCCCTCACTTGTCTTCTTCTCATTTCATTATTAAAGTCCATAAGGAGTGCTTAAGGTAACACCTGAATTTGGCATTAGTTGTACCAAGTCTCCAATTCATTGCCAAGAAAGCAATTATCCACCGATATAAAAATACACAGACTGCTGCGGAGAAAGAAATGACCTGTTTAAGTATTTATATTTGGCACGCTCATGTAAGAACTGAAGGTGACATGTTATCTGAATTGTCCTCTCACCATGGATGCTCCTTTTTTCCTATCCTCTGCAGAGAGAGTCATAGACAGCATTCTCACTGCCACAAAATATTACGGACTCGGGGAGTATCTGGACAGGTAATTTTTGCTGCTCACCCAACATCAGCAGAACAGTCCTGTTTTGTCTATCCATCACTTATTTATGTTACTAACGTCTGACCTTGCTTCCCTGCAGTCTCAGCTGTAAAAGATGCATCATTGTGGGCAACGGGGGAATCCTGTTCAACAAGTCTCTGGGCTCCCGTATAGATGAATACGATGTCGTAGTGAGGTGAGAATATATATTATATATACTGTATTTATTATTATTATGATATATCTTGTTTATTTTGATACTGTCAGTCATGCACAACCCTCAGAATATTTTGCACATTTGCACATAAAGCTACCCAGCTTTCCACATTTCGTTACAATACTGCACATTTTATTATATTTTTCCGAGTCATATCATACTGTACGTAATTTTTGTAATATTTCTCTATATTCTAGTGTTATCATTTAAAAAAAAATATATATTTTGTATAATTGTTTTACTTTTGTGTCGTTTTTCTTACACTTGATCTTTAACTGTGTTTATGTTTGCACCATATACATCGAAGCTAATTCCTTTACACAGCTTTCCGCTTTTCGTTTAATATTCCACATTTTATTTTATTATCCCGAGTATGTTGTCATATTATGTTGTACGTAGTTTTTAGGTATAACTATATTTTATGTAAATATTTCTCTATATTTGAATGTTATAATTGTTTTTTTTTAATATTTTCGTATAATTGATTCATATTTTGGTCGTTTTCTTACAATTGATCTAGTTTAACTGTGTTTATGTATGCACCATATACATCAAGGGAAATTCCTTGTACGTATTAACCTACTTGGCTTACTTTCTATAGCAGAATGGTCAAAAAAATGCAATTTGTCGCCATACACATTGTGGAAACACTATACAATAGGGATGCTCCGATTGATCGGCCGCCGATCGATATCGGCCGATACTCACTCTCTGCCGATCGATCGGTGCTCTCTAAACATGCCGACCGCATGACGTAAAATCATGACGTAAAATACATGACACTTTTCTCTGTGCGCGGCAAAACAAGCTCGCCAAAATGGCTTCACTAGTCTGGCAGTATTTTAAGGTGTCCGAAAAAGACTATAAAATAGCGGTATGCAACGTGTGTGTGAAGCAGAAATCCTGCAGCTCCGCCCGCTGTGACGGACCGGTGAGCGGAGCAGAACACACAAGAGTTAGACCTAACACACTTAGCTATTTTATCTACCTCTGGAACAAGCTAAACTAGTTATAAATATATTTATTACTCACTGTCGGGTCGCTCATTACTGGATCAGTGAGCTGCATGAGATACTGACGGGCTGTCAGGAGAGAGAGAGAGAGGGGGAGAGAGGAAAAGAGAGCGCTTCCGCTCATTTCTCCCGTGTTATTATCCAAAGTTAATGTAAACTTGAATAATGTACTTCATTTGAATGTAATAATTATGTTGATTGTTTGTGGAAGCGCCAGTGAATGAGCCCCATTAACTGAGTTTTAAACATCACTTTAAATGGAAGATCCCCATAGGCCCCGCCCACTCGATCGGATCGGCGATCGGCCGATACTGATTCCGGCGATCGGCCCCAAAATTGGCGATCGGAGCATCCCTACTATACAACAAGGCAACACTTTACCAATATGTGAATGAACAACAGTTGATAAATAAAAAGAGAAAACATCGCAGGTGCTTAACTTCTGTGTCATGGGCTTTTTTAACCCAAATCCCAGTCACTAAGACATTGTTTTGTTGTGCTGGCAGGTTGAATGAAGCCCCGGTAAAAGGTTACAGCAAAGACGTGGGGACCAAAACCACCATTAGGATTACCTATCCAGAGGGAGCGATCCAGAAGAGCGACAACTATGAAAAAGACTCCCTTTTTGTTTTTTCCGCTTTCAAACCACTGGATTTCAAGTGGCTCAGACAGATGGTCTTCAAGGAGAAACTGGTAAGGATTTTTCTTTTTAAATCATTAAAGGATAAAGAGAAAATCGTGAACACATTAAACATGCATGAACACGACCCTGAAATATCTAATAGGAATGATGACTCACAGCACTGCGTCTCATCAGGCTGTCTTCCTCATTTAGCATTCTTCCACATTATGTCTGTGTTGGACCTGCGCTCACTGAATTACACTTTAGAGAATTTCTATTTCTGAATTTTTGAGTTATGTGTTTTGTTTTAGCAGATCATTTCGTTCCAACCCCAGATCACATTCTGTACATTCCTTCTTGTGGAAATGTAAGCCGTTTCGTAAATAATTTGAGAAGACGACTTGAATCTAAACTAGATAATGCAGTGTTTTAGATGGTTTGCTTTTCTGTGGAAAGGACAGTTGTATACAAGATATGTTGTCTTCTTTCTCCGGCACCCGAGTGGATTTTCTTCATTATCCTTTGTCGTTTTCTCATCAATAATAATAATACTGATTATTTCTTAACCTGTTCTCTCACATTTCTTGATTAATTTACCTCAAAAATACATGACCATGACTCAAAAATACAAAATATTCTCAGTGAACTGGCCTCTTAATCTCGAGGGTCAGACTGAATGACAGAGCTGGCTTGTTTTTTTTTAAGTACAAAAGGCTTGTCTGGCCTTTTTATATCCATTGTCACAAAAAAGCTCCTATAAGCACTTTCATTTGTTCTTGTTGAACAGTCTCTAGTATCACTAGTGAGTTTATTTTGGGTCCATTCAACTCCAGGATGGCAGGAGTACTCAGTTAAAGCTCTTTATGAAATAAAAAAAGCATTTTAATAAAATGTTTTATACATGGAAGGACCATACTAGTGTCTTGCTTTAGTCCATTTACTAGAACTGACTGTTTTCAAAAGAGTGTTTAATATCTTTAACGTTTTATTTCAAACCATACCTCTTCCAATTTATCTTAATGACATATTGGTTTCCCAGTCAATTTTAAATATGAAATGTAGTATAAAATAACCTTACGGTTTTTGAATTGTCGGCAATTACATCACAGGTGCTTATGTTGTAGCAAATGGGCTGAGCCATTTAAAAACACATTCCTAAAGGTCCATACAGGCAGAATAGCTAAACTAATTTACCCCTTTCTTCGTGAGGGATGCCTCCGTCTAATATGGCAAACGAGAATGAAAGAAAAATGCTTTATTTTCCAGCACAGCTGTGTGACTTTAGGGAAGCAGCTGCCAGCTAGGGATTTCACAAGGTGACATTTGTCATAATCGTTTGAGTGAGGGAACGGGGAGAAAGGAAATATAGTGGAAAGCACAATACTGTTATAATAGGCGATGGAAAGGGCATACAATGATAAGCTCAACCAAGAAATGGTGTGAAGCTGGATTAAAGGTTGAAAGAATGGAAGGAAGCTAGATGGAAAGGATCATGTGAAATGGGGTAAAGGGATAATAGCTGGGGAAAAGAAAATGAGCAGTGGAAGGTAAAGTAAAACGGAGGAAAATAGCTTGGCTGGCTGATGGCCCCTTCGGCCTTTGATAGGGCCCAGATTTGTCTGGTGTGTCAGAAAGAGAGGACAGTGGAAATGCCTGCCCGGGATAATTGATCCGGCCCCCGGCGCCTGACTCAGCCCTCTTTGATCTGCGGAGGAAGGAAGAATGTTTCTCATGGGTTAAAAATCAGGGAACAAAAAAAAAAGTCAGTGTTGTTTGGTCAGAGCCTTGATGATAACATGGAAGAAGAGAACTGACAGATGTGCAAGGACCCAAGCGGACCTATTGATAGTTTTCCACAATAGGTGGACATTATGAACATTATCATGTCGTACATACACATAGAAACGTCACACACATATCACACAACAGTTTTTACCCCACATACTAAGACTCTAATGGCAATGTTGGTCAGTTGCTTAAATGTTCTGTATTGCCTTTTCTACCCTGCGTTACTTTTTCCATTAGATATTCTGTTAAAGTATAGGTGTGATTTGTTGTATCAGATGGTTTGTGGACTACTGTATGTCCAAGTATTTATTTTATAACGGTAATAAATGCATTTTGTTGTAGGGCTGCAGCTAATGTTCTTTTACATATCGATTCATCTGCAGCTTGTTTTAATAATTAATTGTTTAGTCTATACATTGTAAACATGTGTGAAACATTTCCATTTCAGTTTCTGAAAGTCAAAGTTCAATACAATGTTTCCTCAGTAAAGAAATATAAATATATTCAGTTTATTATAATGAAAAACAGTGAAAAGTGGGACCTTTTCTAATTTTAGGAGGGGGTACAGCCGTTTCTGACATTTTTGTATGAAATACGAATTGAGCAATTTCATTAATTGATTAGTTATAAACTCAATGCCAGTGTTAATGAGTTAATTCATATAATGGATCATTTAGACAAACTCATTTAAAGCACGTGCTGATTTAATGACTTAAACACATCTTGAACACATTACTGTTTCATTCGTTCTGATTCAAATTGATCACTTCAGGAGAACGCACAAAGAAACAAGCACTGTGTTAATGTTTACTTTAAAGCAGCATGAAGGCTGACAAAAATGTTGAAATTATAATCTTTCTTAAAAACCACATGTTACCGGGGCAACGGTATGTGATTTTCAGTCTCATCACAACATGAAGGGAACTAAAGTCCTTAAGTTAAAAGATTGTTATCCTAGCTTCATTGTGTCAGACTTACACCTAGCCCAGACTAATGCAGTGGAAACATACACATGAAGAGGTGTTTATGTGTGTATGTACATTTCTTATTTTATTTTTAACTCGAGGGACACTTTTCCAAAAAACAGCGACTCATACATGTTTTATTTTATTACCAGACAATAGTTATCCTAATCAATAAAAGCAAATTAGTTTATCAAAAAGATATTTCATTCATTAGGATATGCAGCATGACATTGTCACCATGTAGCAGCAAGCATCTCTTCCTTTAGCCTCACATCCATTCAGTCCATCCCAGACAGAGACATCATGTAACTCAGGACATTTGTCCTTCGGGAGCTTTTACTTCTCTCGGTCCAGCCGAGGGATTTCTTTGTGTACGACGCACACTTGCAGCTGCGAGGGATGCTTTTCACTCTCCTTCTGCGGTTATGAAAGCAAGTGTATGTCCTTCCTCTTTTTAAAAGGTTGGTGGGTGGTACACGGTTGTTTTGAAGCCGCAAGTGACTCACCCAGCCAGTTGTGAGAGTGCTCGACTTTCCTGCGCTATTGTGCCTTTTTTCAAATGCCTACAGCGCGTTCTTGGATGGCTGAACTGAATACAAATTAGCGAGGCAGTTTCCCAATCTGTTATTTACTGTTTTTGTACACTCTCAAAAAGACAAACTCAAAAACTCCCATTCACTCACACGCACAAGTCCGAGATTTGCAAACTTGACCTTGATCAGATCTCTGAGCAGCTGTCTCTCTGTCTCTGAACGTGTCTCACATTTTAGATGAGTGAAGCTCTTTGCTACATATACAATTACATAGCTGCAGCATCAGAAGGCATCCGACTTCCCTAATCCCTCATTACTGCAGGTAAACCTGATTACCACTCAGCTTTGTCACCCCGCTTTAAAGTCGGACCCCACAGACGCAGCCGCCTGGTTGATTGCGCAGCTACGCGCTGTTTACAAACGCACTCAAACACGATTTCCACAATTGTCGATATTGTCTTTATTCCTATATGTCTAGTTTTCGATTTTGCACTCATGCACAGCAGACCCTCGTGGTTCATGCACACACAGACACAGTTGTTTGTATATGCGGGGATATTTTCAAACAGAGCCAGCGAAGGATATACAGCCGGTGGTAAACACGGGGTTCCAAGGTGGAGTGCCGGTGTTTTCGCTCTGCTGTTTGTTTACAGGAGCTCTCGCTGCTAAATGATGGATGGAGACAATTTTAAGGAAGAGAGTACTTCAACTTTAATAGAAAAACAGCCACGGGTTATTAGTCATAGGTTTGAAAATATTGTAGTTAAGCCAATATTTAATACACATTGCATGTCTCTTCGGAAGAAATTGAGCAAGGAATTACCAAAATAGCCAGTTGCTCCACATCACTGATAATTCCCAATTTACTCCTTTCCCACAAGAATATTGTTATGAATCGTATCCTTTTGTTAATCTCAATATAAAAGCCATGCTTCTCATTTTTAAAGATAGCGTTTTAGAAAAAAAATGTGTATTCTAACTCTCTCTAAGGATGCACCGTGGGACAGAAATAACCGCTATAAGGCTCGTTTTCTTTTTAAGCCCAGACATCTGTGCAGAAGCCCAAAGTAGCATGCATACATGCATTCATAAACATTTACATACTTGTAAACATGGATTTTGAACATGATCCAAGTGACTAACATAGGGTCCGGATGTCACTGATTAGCGAGTGTTGTGTTTCAAAAATGAGTCACCTACCTACCCTTCAGTGATCAACGCTCCCGTACTCCGTGTTCCTTTTTGAGTCATATGTTCTGATGCAACGAGTGGGTAATTAGTATTTAAGATTTTTTTTAAATAACTTTATCAACTCGGAATAGGTCACAAGAGGGACTTCTCTAGTTGTTGGCTCCGCAGGCCCTGCTAGTGAAACCATGTTGCTCTTACAAGTCTTCAGGGTCACTGTGCTGTCAGGTTTGGGCCCTGTTTGACGTTTGTCGTCATGGGAGTGTGGAGACAAGGGTTTCACACACTGGGTATCCTGCGAGAGGCCAAGAGTGGAGAAACCACCATGACCTCGATGGGTGCAGAGGTCTTGGTATGTGTCAAGAAAAGCAAAGGCAAATTGGTGAATGCTTCAGATTCCTGTGTAACAAACTGCAATAAAATAACCACAGCTTTACAGAATTCCACCTCTAGGATTTTAGAGACTTTTAATCCCAGGCTGCTAAACCCCTCTCCTTTTCAAACATTCTTTGTGAAATGGTTCTCCTCCAGTGGAGCACTTATGTGGTGAGACACTGTAACTTGTAAACTGAAAGGTCTAACATGTATACAGTGCTA